CCCCCCCCCCCCCCCCACTGGTCAGGACAAACCTTACATACCTCCAAAACCGTAGTGACATGCATACACGACCCATGCTAGTGCCACGCTCCACGCAGGTTTTGAAAATATTCCATAAAACACTTTTTCTGTCTTGGTCCAGTGTCGGCCATCTTTTTGAATGCTCTCGTGAGGAGCGTATACCAAGGTGATACCGACGGCAATGGCGACCAACCATGCTATCACAGCAACGATCTAAAGAATGTCAAAGTCTGTATAAAGTTCAGTGCTCTACTATTTTGGGTGTCCCGAAAAATGCAATCCTATGTTCAAGATTTTTCACGGCTAACTATTCGTGGGTATCGACAATTTCATCTCTGAGATGAATTTTGACATTAGGATTATTAAAATTAGTCTAGTGCATGGAGCCATTAATGTTATGGATGTCTTAAAATAAAGTCTGGTTCAACCAATGGACCACTGAAATCATACATCGGCACAAACCACGACAGCTTATTGTAGAATACTACCTACACTGGCCCACCATGTTTGAGATATTTTTTTCAGGTATAGTTCAAACACAAACCCTGACAGGTCATTGCAAAATCCTGCCTATACTGGACCGCTATGTTTGAGATTTTATCACTTACCCACGCAGGTCGTCTTGTACCACTATAACTTTTGTGCATGAAGTATCCCAACATCATTCCGATTAAATACGGCTGTATCCTGCAGTACGGCTTGTCATACACCATTTTAGAAAAGTCAGATTTCGCCTTGCTAAATCGCAAAAAAATGTCACTGAGTTGTTGGGATTTAGACATTCAGAAACACCAAAAGTATGTGGTCACAGCAGACACCATTAAAATGCGCGAGCGCCGCTCGCAGACACCTCTTGAATTTGTGAAAGCGCATTTTGAAATCTCATCAAAATCCACACATTTTAACAATATTTATATAGTTCTTAAAACCTAAAACACGTGTGCATTTTTGCTGCAGGCACATTCTGAAGTTATGAATTTTGCTGTCAGAGCGTTGGTAACCCAGGGCCACTCTGAATGGCCGATTATATTCATTTTTCGCAAAGGCCTCGGGGTTAAGGACAATGGAACATCCAGGATGAGGCGTAATTAAAAGGCCAAAATACAGGGAAAGGTCTGCGTTTATAGCCTTTTCCAGGGGGTATCTTTATGGCAATACAATCATAGAAACTCCTAGAAGATTCTATGGAGAAAAAGTACATAAATAAGCTGAATTCAAGAGGGTAACAATCTAACTGGTAAAAACGTTGTCTTCAACTCCCTGTACGGAACAGAAATGCTCCACCAGTTATTACATCACATTGGCCTCGATTGCCGTAATAACTATGAAAATAAGACGGAGACAACTTTGACAATAACTCAAATTTTACGTACTCGAATGGGTTTGATAAGTCCCACTTTGACAATGCAGTTGGATCAATGTTATAATAACCATAGATTGATGCGAGAGAGATTGTGCTGGCCATGAAAAGTGAGCCCGCGGATGCAAGCAAGCCAACCCGACCAAATCTAGATGGAAATAAAGGCAAAATTATTAATACAATGCGTTTTTTGTACATGAAATATTTTCTAAACCAAGACACGGGCAACGTAACCTGGACTAGAGGAAATAAATTCTAACCCGTTCTTAGAGCCTCTGGAACCGACTTACAAAGTATAACATCAGACATGTTTCACTACTCTGGTTAACAGGGCTTTTTCAGGACATTTTCGTGGCCATTAAACGGACCCTAAAGCTCGATCTTGAATTGAGTTTTGAAAGAAAGTTTAGATTCAGTAAAATTGATGTTTTTCGGATTGAATTTGGGACGTGAATGGCCTATTTCCACTGAGAAAAATTTTCCGCCGACACAAATTTTCTGTCCGGGGAATTTTTTCTTGAGTGGAAATGGGCTTCAAGGAAAACAAACAAACAAACAAACAAACAAACAAACAAACAAACAAACAAACAAACAAACAAACAAACAAACAAACAAACAGCATGGAATTCGTTTCACAAGAAAAAGCATGAACAACAATGTGAACACACAGGTTATGTACCTAACTCGTTCGATATAAGTCAAAGGCATGAAAAGGCTAAAATTGTGAATCTGAGGGGGGGGGGGGGGA